GGGGGGGGGGGGGCGCGGGCAGAGCAGCTACAACTCTGCTAATTTTCCCTTTGACCAGCTTCTTCCCTGATGCTTGAATACACCACCCAGGAAATATCTGGCCCAGCCTACACATCCCAGAGGTACTGAAATACATACAGGCCATTATGATCTTACCAAGCTGTATGGTCACTGTTGGATTCCTCCAGGGACGGATCCAGGGATACCAGCTGTGCCCCATGACTCAGCAGAGCATAGAGCAAAGATATTCCAAACTGCAAGTGATAAAATTATCCAGAGAAAAATGGATTCACCCTCGGCGTTCAGTGCTTCCCTGGCTCTGTCTTCCCAGCTACAGGGCAAGTTTACATATACAAATGGAGTCCAACACCCATAAAACTGTCAGATTTTACACTGACTGCCCAAAGAACTCTCAGACCTTTCCAAGGGAATCACTGCTCTGAATTTTCCTAAAGATCCTTCTAGGGAGCTGACAAAATGCGCACTCATGAGTTCTGTCTCCAGGATTCAGAGTCTGTAGATCAGGAATGGACCCAGGAATCTGATGAAGGTAGTCTGTAGACCCCACTTTAAGAAGCACTGCTTTAGGCAAAGATCTTCGGAGACGAGTTCATAAGACAATCCACTGGTATATTAGAAGATATCAGAACTTCATTATCTAGACTTTCATCTTCTAAAATGTTCTATTTTGTATTTATTATGTACCTAATATTAGTATAGTGTTACATATAAATGACATATAAACACACATGGATGATGTGGTTCAGAATTTTTTTTAATTAAAAGGGAAACAAAAAAAACTTTGGTGACCTCTGCTCTAGAGGTCCACACCAGCACCAGAGAGCTTGTTAGAAAAGCAGATGCATGGACCCCACCCGGCTCTACTAAATGAGCTCTGGCAGTGGGCCCAAGGAACTGGTGTTCGGTAAGCTCTCCAGGTGATCCTAATGCTCACTAGAAGTTGATAAGCACTGCAGAGGATAAGCTGGAGAGATGAAGAGATTGTGGAGATGAGACCATTTATTCCTTGCCAGTGATACCACCTGGAGACCATCTATGGAAAGACAAAAGCCTCCCAGATATGTTACCTGATTCTGAAGCACCACAGTGACTGGCCTCTCTGAGGAGCCAGGTGGAAGCACCATTAGTCCCTGAAGTCCTTGGAGAAGTTCATGGAAGGTCAAGTGACTAATATATTTGCCCAGAGGCTTGAACAACATTTGTAGGACCTGCAAGAAGGTCAGCGAGTGCATCTCTCAGACTCCACTACAACTTCACTTCCTCCTACCTTGCCTTCCATCCTTCTTCTTGCTGACTTGCCTTTATCACCTACTTGGTCAGGTTATTTACCAGACCTACCACCACTAATGTCTCTCCATCCCCAACACTGGTCCTTCAACACCTACTTGTTCTGGGATGCCGTCCCTAAGAAAAGTATAGACATAGGGCTCAATACTTGTCAGGGAACCCTTATTTTCTTACCTTCCACAGCACACTCACACCTGTGCAACCAAGGCCTGTGTGTTTTGTTTAGTTCATTACACTCAAAGATGATCAGCTGTTCCTATAGTTTATTCTGTAACTCCCTCACCTGAGGGTGGCAGGGTTGACACCCCTCACTACCCAGCACCTTCTCTGGCATCTCTGGGGGTGGGGACTGGAGGAAGAGAAAAGATCCCCAACTCATCCACGAAACAATCCTCTTCTCCACTTAATACCACGGTACCTGGTCAGCTGCGTCCCTCTTGACCAGGAGTGGCAGGTGGTGGGTGATAGCCAGAAGAAGGCTAACAGCCAGATCCCGGGGCAGGAAGGGGAGCAGCCGGGCCACTAGGGCTTTCCCCTTCCTCACAGAGAGCACCTGCAGGAAGCCATCTGCTGCCTCCCTACGAGTGAGGGAGAATCTTTTCAGGGCTGTACGTATTGGAGAGAGCTACATGCCAGAAAGGAGAAGCTCAAGCAAAGCCAAGGTCTTTGCTAATCTTCCCCTTCCTGGGTGGAGCTGTGACCCTCCCACACTCACTCCAGATTATTCTGCTCCTGGGTCTTTAAGGCCTGGAAGAGCTTCTCAACCTGATTTCTCTGCTGCTCAGAGTAGAAGGGATATGCAGGCCGATTGTTCTGGCCCTCCTCTATCTGTAGTAACTGAAGAAACATCTGGGAATTCAAGGGTGGGAAAAGAGGAAGAAAAGGACAATTTGAGCACTATCTCATTTTTGAGGATAAGTTAGGAACTCATCTCTAAGGAGCTGATCTCACCTTCTCAATCCAGGACAACACCTGAAGCCTCTGACTGCTTGCAGCTCCTGTCTCCTGGAAGAAAGGGGCCCCAGCCATCAGTCATGCCTCCACAGCAGCAGCCCAGGCCTCGGGTGAGATAGAAATTGGGCTGGAAAGGCTAACACAAAGCCTGATCACGCTTCTTCCACTTCTTCCTTACTCTTAGGTCACAGTCTGAACTCAAGCATGAGGATGCTTAAGACCTTTCTCCAAAACAGGGAGGAGGGAAAAGGTTCTGGGAAGATAACACTCCTACCAGCTCTGGAGTTCCATGGGGTACAGCATCAATAGCTCTGCGAGGGCTAAAACACGTCGACATGGCTACCTGGCCCAGGGAACCCTCGATTCGAACCACTGCACGAAAGGAGTCAGGTCAGGCATAGTTCCCTCCCCTTTCCACCCTCTGTCCACCCAGGTGGTCAGCCCAACCCAGCAGGTCAACCCTGGTCCTACCTGACTCGTAAGCCTCTACCTTCTGAATGTAAGGCGTTACCAGCTTGAGGGACCCAGCTTTGCTCCTTCGCCCCAGCAGCTCTTCATCTGCCTCCTCCTTCTCTAGTTTCTGATAATATTTCTGAGAGTCCATGAAATGTAAAATGTATACTCACCTTCTGAACTTAGAATTAAGGTTCTCAAGTGCAACTTCTCAGCACACCCTTTCCAGAAGTGTTCCTGGCACTTTAGGCCCTATTGGCAATCATTCTAAAATATCTTAAACACCCTGGGCCTCATGCTACCTGTCCTGGGATCCCCATATGAAGGAGTTCAAGAGCTAGGTACCACTACCAGTCTGATAGAAGGGCAGAGAGAAAAGTGTAGAGCCTGAAAGGGAACCTGTCCCAGCATCTGCAACTTTCCTGCAGTCCTTGTACCCAAGTTATACACTGCACATCACATATCTGCCACCTCCCCGTTTTGATTTTGTGATTCTACCTGTGCTTTCTAATGTCACAGTTACCTGGTGGCATGAAGACCATCAGTAGCTCAAAGTGCAGAGATAGCACTGTTATCAACTGACCTCTAGGCCAGTTCTATACTTCTGAGGATGTGGTCAGCAGCTCTAATATTACCTTAAAGAAATCTGTAAAATCCTAAGCTAAAATAAAATCATCGACTGCGAGCCAAACAAGGATTTGAATAAAGCTCCTTCATTTAGGAGCAGTACCAAAAAGGCCAGAGTATAAAACAATTTCGCTTTCAGTGATCCTGACAGAAAGGAGAGTTTTGAAGCAGGGTGGAAAAAAGGAAAAAACTAAATAGGAAGGAGATTAAGGTGGGAGCCTCAGTAGAGGGCTGATGGAGGTTGAGGAGAAAGTGAAACAAAGCTTTGACAACCCCAAAACCCATAAACAAAGATTTGTCCCATAAATAAAGGGGCGATAGGAAGGAAATGAGTCAAAATGTCTGCGATCATTTGTTCAATTCAACAAATCAAATCCCACTATTTCTTAGATCCCTGTGTTTTTTATCTAAACAGGTAAAGGTAAGTAGATGAATGTTTCTAACAAGGCATTTCTAAAGACTCACAAAAGTGTACAAAGGTGGAAAAGCCCATATTCTCAGGCTGAATAGGGGAAATTCTTGGCAAAGGATGGAGACAAAAACCTCTGAGTATGTTTGGGGAATTGAAAATAACCCCATTTAGCTGAAGTGTGGGAGAATAGAGGAATGAATAGGGCTGGAATGTCAGCTTTAGAAATGTGGCCCCTGCCCTGGTTGGTTTGGCTCGATAGTTAGAGTGCCAGGCCTCAGACTGAAGGGCCCTGCGTTTGATTCCAGAAGGGCATGTACCTGGGTTGCAGGTTCCATCCCTGCCCCCAGTGGGGGCAACCAATCGATGTTTCTTTCTCCATCTCTCTCTCTCTCTCTCTCTTCCCCTTCCACTCTCTCTGAAAAAATATCCTTGGGTGAGAATTAAAAAGGGCAGGGCAGGGCAGGGCAGAAATATGGCCCCTATGAGCCGAAGAGAGGATCTGACTGAGAGGGCCCATGGAGTCCAGGCCCTTTTGACCCCAGGGTCAAAGGCTGGGAAGAGCATGTGGGGCTCACCTGGTAGTAATAGTCATCCAGACAGGGCTTCTCACTCTGCAGCTGAACCATCTGCACTTTTATCACCCAGTCCTTCTCTTTTCGGGTCATGAGGTTAGCATAGGGGTCTGGCTGCTGAGACCAGGGCTTCTTGGCTGGGGGCCTTTAAGCCAGGAGGAGTATCCCTTTAGACACACCCATCCCTGCCACAGAGAACTTCCCAAGGTGAGGTGAGCAGGGAGTGGAGCTGTCTGGGAAGGACAGCAGGAGAGAGTGCAGAGGTGGGCAGCACTGTAGGAGTCCTAATTGTGCAGGGGCTTTGGGGAAATACCCAGCATGCACATGAGCTGCCCTCAACCCCGCTCCTGGTCTAGGTTTTACCTTGGTGTTCGACTGTGCTGCTGCAGCTGCAGGATCCGTTGGTGCTGAGGGTGGAGCTGGGTCAGACGACTGGGAAGGCTTAGGAAGAAACTTGGGCTGGCTGAACGCAAGGTCTCAGGTCCCTACCCCCTCTACTCATTTAACTTAACCTCAGCTGGACATCTAAGGGAACTCTTTTTACTTATTTATTTTTTATTATATCTTTGTTGATTTCAGAGAAAGGAAGGGAGAGGGAGAGAAAGAAATAGAAACATCAATGGGAGAGTCGTCATCGATCTGCAGCCTCCTGCACACCCCCTACTGGGGATCATGCCTGCAACCCAGGCATGTGCCCTGACTGGGAATTGAACTGCAATCTCCTGGATCCTAGGTCAATGCTCAACCACTGAGCCACTCCCAGCCAGGCTAAGAGAACTCTGTTTATGTGCCTTCCCAAAGTCAGCCACATGAAACAGTGTAATCCTAGCTAAACAGGGCTCACATTCCCCTCTAAGATATAATTTTCTGCAACTTGGCTGCAGGAAGTCTTAACACAGTAGAAAACACTTAGCCTGGTTGTTGGGAGTTGAGTCAATCTCAGTTCCTCAAGTAAATTCTTTTAGTCTCCCTGGGCCTCCATTTCCTCATTTGTGAGGTAGAATGGGTTGGACTCTACCTCAGACGTTCCTTATTAAGTTTCTATAAGTGTTTTTCTGTGGTAGCTGGTAGAGTGGCCCCACCCTCCTCAGCCACTACCTCCTGAGGCCTCCAGAGAAGAGCTCAGACTGTTGTGGATGCTGGGGTGCCTGGCACCCTGAACCAGTACCTGAACCTAGGGGACCATGAGGTTGGTGGGCTGCAGAAGACAGATGGGTCTGGTGGGAGCAGTCGAGGTCCAAAGTGCCGCACTGGAGAGCTGGCGCTGGGAAGGGGAGGCCGGAAAGGAACTGGCGACAAGTAGTCCAGGGTCTAAGAAGAATTAAGAGGCCTGGGAGAAGGACATCTCCACCAACAGAATGCTGCTCTTGCTGCTACGTGCCTTTCCTGCCTCTACATTCTCACCTGCCTTCTCCCTCAAGAACATTTTGCTGTCTTTGGGGAACTTCAAGCCAGCTGTGAGGTCACCAGACTGTGGGTCCTGTCCTTGTTTCCAACAGGGTTTGTCACCTCCTAGGGAGCAGTCTCCAGTCCCTGACAGTGTGGGGGCATGTGCTTTTCCTACTGTCCAGTGAGCCAACGCCTCTTCCTCTTCTGTCTGTGATAGTCTCTCGAGCTCTCGTGGCTTCAGCCACTGGGGCAATGCTTAGCTGTCTCTTTTCTGACTCACCTGAAGCCCTCCTCAGAACTGCTGTTTCCTTCTCTTCTCCCTGCAGTATTTCCTGCATTTCCTCCATCCCTTACCATGTCCTCATTATGCAGTTAATTGAAGGACAAATGCTCTTTCTAGCCCTAAGCTCAGTGCTGCTTACCTGCTGAAATGCAGGGAAGTGGAAGCAGGGATCTAGTTTGTCCTTTCTCAAATGAATGGCCAGTTGTCCCAGTACCACCTCTGCCATTCACCAAGATTCCCTACATGATTGATATCTCCCACCTCCCATACCTACACCTCACTTTGGGTGCTTCATTTCCAGAGCAAGGTCAAGAGCAGACTGAACATAATGGAAATAAGGGACACTCAGCATGCTCCTTATCAGCACCCAGTCACTTTCTCACACTATAGAGACTAGAACGACTCACCTGCCATAGAAAGTGCAAGGAGGCAGGTGACATCCCCAGCAGGCCGGAGGCCTTGATTCCAGGAGAGCTGGGAAGACCTCTCTGGAATGGGAGGGAAGAAAACCCAGACTCAAATGAGCCTCTGTGGTGTCTTCTAAATTCAGCTGAGTTCATGAGGTGTGGGGCAGCAAGGGCCAACCATTTCCAGTCCCCAGGACAGTGGCAGCCTAGCCCTCCCTCATAATCAAAGTCAACTGGCCCAGGGTCCCTCTCCTTCGTTGAGGGGAAGCAAGACTGGTATCTCAAGGAGTAGGTTAAAGTCACTTCATTCTACATGGGAATCCTTGTCTCTCTCCATTGGTGTGGGAATCCAAGGGAATGAATATAAGGAATGGGCTGCTGAGACACAGGGGCCAGGGTCGAAGATGACTCATCTTCAGCACCAGGAGCAAGGCCAGCACCTATGCGTGATGCACAACCCTGATAGGACCTAGTTTATATATATATTGATTTTTAGAGAGAGAGGAAATGGGGGGGAGAGAGAGAGAAAGAAACATTGATGGGAGAGAATCATCACTCAGCTGCCTGCCTCCTTGCACGACCCCTACCCGGGATCGAGCCCAAAACCAGGGCATGCGCCCTGACCAGGAATCGAACTGGCTACCTTTCAGTGTACAGGATGACACCCAACCAACTGAGCCACACCGGCCAGGGCTAGGACCTGGTTTTTAAGGTGAAGACAGCATCTGAAACTAAGTGGGTGACAGGAGGAAAGAGGGAAGAAAGAAGAGCATCCCTACTCAGGTTCAACCCTGAAATAGTGTTAACCAGAACCATCTTAGAAAGGGGTGGGGAAGAGGAGAGGATGTTTAGCCACAATCTGTGAGCCACAGACAATTCAGGACGACTGTCCCTCCAGCCTCTCCTGCCATGGTACCTGGGTGTTATGGACAGCACTGATGACAGCTGGATCCCCAAGATCTTCCTCCTCTTCACCTGCTTCCTCCTCCAGGTCCCGGGCTAGATCAGGATCCAGATCCTCTTCTCCCTCCTCACTTTCTTCCTCCTCCGGTTGGGAGGCAGACACCAGCTCCTCCTCAGGGGCCAAGGGGCCACAGGATTTGCCTGGGTCTTGGTTTGAGTGGGGGCCTGAAGAAGTAGATGGGGGGGGCTCAGGTGTGAGGAGTCTAGTCTAGGGAGGCTGCTTCTCAGTAGTACTTCTGCTCTTGGGCTGTCTCCAGCACCACCTTCAGACAATGCCTCCTATTTTAAGAGTTAAACTCATCGCCACCTGGTGATGCTTGATACCCCAGAGGATCCCTACCTGTCCTCCACTAGAGAAAACAGAACCTGGCAGGTGCCAGACTCCTTCACTTTCTACACCCCCTCTTCAGTTGCCTCATTAGGTACCATCACAGGCTTCTCCACCTGCTCTCCTCCACCTAACAGCCCTTTTTATGCCTCTTAAATCAACCAAGTTCCAGCTGCCTCGACTCAAGGCAATTTAACCCTATTGTGTGCCAGATACTTTACATGTATATGTTCAATTAACTCCCACAACAATCATCCAAGCCTGTTATGATTTCACTATGAAAGTGAGAAAAAGGGGGCCCAGAAAAGTGATTTCAATCACCCAGCTTGATAAATCTAGCAAAGAGAAGAGTTTGGAATCATTCCCAACGATTCTGGACAAGCAAGTGCACGTCCATCCACTGAACCAAACAGCAAGTCTCCGCACCCCCGGGCTTTTTATCCAGCTACTATGGCTCATTTAGTGATACCTTCAAGACATTTCATCTTTGCAGGCCTACGGATTTCCTCCCCGGCTGTTTCCATGGGCGAGAGAGCACTGTCAGCCTCCGGTAGGTAAACCTGGGACACGGAAGAAACCCAGAGGCATCCTCCTCCTCAGTAAAAATGGCATGGCACCCTAAAGCATGGTCATCCCCCAGCAAGGTTGGCAGGGGAGTACTGGCCCAGGATCTCAAGGAGCAGGACTGCCCCCAACCCCCCCCTCTGACCTCAACAGCCCAGCTCTAGACAGCTGTCTTGGAAGGGACAGAAGGGAGGGACAGGGCTACGAGTTGGAGAAGCCCTCCCACACAGGGAGGGGCCCTCACAGCTGCCTTGTGGCTGAGACCCACCCCCTGACTGTTGCTGTCCTTTCAGCTTACTTTAGCCATGGCAGCCTGGGCCCTTGCCCGCTTGCTGCCCTTGGCTTTAAGAGTCCCAGCCCCTCCCCTACTCTCCCGTTAAAGGGCCAGCATCCCCCAACCATTGCATCTTGATCTAAATATGAGAACATAATCTTATGATTAAAAAAGCCACACTCTGGAAAGGGCAAGAGAAATAAACTGCATTTTTAACCATTCAAGGTTTGAGTAGAGTTTATTGGGGTCAATATTTGGGAGCAGATATTTAAGAGAATCCTTGTTTTCCACACCCTTCATAGTAATTTTGTGAGGTTATATCCCTTCAATCCCTAGTTTTGCTCCATCAAAATTGAATAGGAAAATTGGTGGATCCTGGGGAGATTACCTAGCAACCAAGTTCTCAGTGCTTCAGGACACTTGTGGATCCCTGTGGTCCACCTGATGATGCTTGAAGTCCCTCACCTCGTCCTCGTGAACTTAAGTCTGCTACCCAGCTCTAACTGATGAGGGGCCCCTGTGAATTTAGAAGCCAGATCTTCAAGGTAAAAACACTTTTACATGAGTTACACAGACAATCTTGCATCTTCTTGGCTGCTCTAATGGAAAACTCGTTCAGAAACTGAGGAGTAAAAGGAAAATAAAGTAAAAACAAGTGTATTAATACTACAGGTAGGCATAACCTAAGACCCACCTGAGCCTCATCTCACCCCCGAGTGATCTGGGTTCTGTGCCCACATCCTGTGTTCGGCTAAACCCCTCATGACTTTGCAGGACTTCTGAATGACAGTAAAAACAAAGCCAATTTCTCTACGTCGAAAAGGCCAGCTAGGGCTCAACATCCTGGTGATAGGACTATGATTCTTGATGCCTTTAAATAAAAATATTTGTTTGAAAAGTTTTGCTGTAGGTCAGAACTATATGGATGAGGGGAAATTTTAAGTCGCTTGAAAGTTACCGAAAACCTTTTCAGATATCTGACTTGGGTTCAGGCCTTTTTGGTAATGTTACTCAGCTGTTTCTCATGAGCTTCCTAGGAGTTCACTTTGGTATTATTAACAGAAGGGCCAAATGGTGAATTTTGGTGCTCCAGAAGGGAGTTATTAGGCTGTTACTGCAACCACGTCTGAGGGAGAGCCACTTGCTGCATGCAGGTTTGCGTTCTGAAGGGACTTCTTGTATTAACTGGTACCAAACAGGTGAAACGGGGCTTAGTCTTCAAGATTATAGCTTTGCCTTGGCTGTTTTGAAATTTCACTTGAGACCTAGTGGCTTCTGTGGAAGTCCCCTTCCTTTGCCTGAAGTGTTACGTGTCTACTAGTCCCTTCGATTTTCTAACCTCCTGCTATAGATTAACTGTGCTAAATTTAAGCCGAGCCTGTGCTGGGCTTGGGGTACAGCAATGACTAAGCAGGTGCCACCCAGGGCCTCTTAGAGCTTCCAGAAGAATAAGAAAAGTACAGAGAGGTGAACAGGATTGTTGGACCAAATATAAAGAAGCGTTTAAATTTGTTGACTAAAACACCAAAGGCCTGTCCTACTTGTATGGGGAGATTTTTAACACATAGTTTCAGTTTCTTTAATGACTGCAGATCTATTCCAGCTTTCAGCTTCTTCTTGGGGTTGTGTTGTTAAATTACATAATCTTCTAGAAATAATGTCCATTTCTTATAAGTTCAAAGTTATTGGCATAAGGTTGTTCACAGTATAAGAGTACTTTTAAAATCGATGCTTAAAATCTGTACTTTGTCCCCCCTTTTTATTCCTAACACTATTTATGTATTATCCCCTCTTTTTTCTTCTTTCTAGATTGTCTATTTTATTAGTCTTTAAAAAAACAACAACATACATAACTCAGGGATTCTGCAGGAAGTAGATAGTTCACTCAAATTGGATAATTTGAGTAGAATTTAATAAAGGGATATTTATAAAGGTGTAGAAAAATATAGCGCCATTATAAGGGATAGTACAGTACCCTGGGATTGGTAATAGTTGCTGGTTACCACTTTAGGGCAAGGACCAGAGGATGGAGCCATTACCAAAACCTGGGGACAGAGAAAGCTGCTTGGTAGGCAGATAATTTCAACACCTATGCCATGTGGGCTCCAGTGGGGCAGCCCTCTCCTAAATTATATCCCCTCTCTCTGAGATCTGTATCTGCTCTCTTCTTGCCTCTTGAGGCCTAGTCGTGGCAAAGGCTCCCCACTCTTGCTGGCTCCAGGGGTGATTCGCTATCCTTTATGAATTTCCTGTAATCCTGCTCCCTCTTTGGCAAAAATGCCAATCACAAAACTCTCCTCGGTTACTCCACTCGAATGTGCTATTTGTTTCCTATTAGGATCCTGACTGACACCATCTCCATCACTGTCCTTTTCTTTGTCCTGTTCAGCAACCTCTCCATCCCTCAATCATCAACGGCTCTAAAACATAATCATTGTCTTCAAGTCCACAGCATGACTCCCATCTCTCTATTCTCAGCAGTCACCTCGCCTCTTACATTATGCAGAAAACAGAGGCCATGTGGGCTGATCTACTTCAGTTTATAGTTGGAGGAAGTCTATAGGCGTGCAGGCACAGGCCTCCCACCTCACTGTTCCAGGGCTACCTCTTCTAGTCCAACCTCTTTTTCTGGATCCTATGCCCTCCAGCCACTTCAGTCATGCTTCTGTCCTCTGTGTCTTCGGTCTCTCTGTTTTCCCTCCTTTCTTCTTCTTATAGCATAGCATAGAAATATCAGGATGTGTGGGTTTTTTAAAAATATATATCCATTTCAGAGTGAGGAAGGGAGAGGGAGAGAGAGAGAAATATCAATGATGATGCCCCCCACTGGGGATGGAGCCTGCAATCGTGCATGTGCCCTGACCGGGAATCGAACCGAGATCTCCTGGATCCTAGGTCAACATTCAACTACTGAGCCACACCCCATGTGTTCATTTGTACAAACAAAATCCCTTTCTTGTTTTTGTTTCTTATTTTAACTGCCCCTTATCTCTCTTCTACCCAACAAATGGAACTTCCCCATTTCCTCAGCTCACATCATTTCCTCAACTCCCTGGCTTTTGACTCCGTGTTAATGGGGGCACCAGGGGACAGATTGACATCATCTCACAAGCCCCTCAATCCTTTGTGTGGACAACTGATAATTTTTCAACCTTAAGTTAATACTCTGTAAACACACCATCACAATAAATCCCCTACTCTCACTTCTTTTGCCCAGGTGCCACCACTGAACACTTCTTGGACTAAAAAAAAACCCAAACACCTGAAACTACCATTACCCATCATTCCTCAGGAACTATTCTCAATTTACCAGTAATTTTGTAACTGTAAGTGCAAAAGACATGTTTCAGTCTTTACCTTAGTTGGAGTGTCCACAGCCCTTGACACTGGTGATCTCTGTTTCTTTTCTCCCACAGCTTCCTGACAGGTCAGTCTCCTGGTTCTCCCTGTACTTCTTGGGTCATCTTTCTTTGGCCCCTTTCCTGCTCTCCTCAACCTCTTGTCATCCTTCAAATATCCTATTCCTCATGCCTCTTCTCTTGCCTGTCTACATGGAATATTCTTTATCCAAGGTCCCCTGAAATTGGTGTATATGTTTGTGTGATTTTTAACGTGTATTTTTCTGGAGAGACAGAACTTTCATCACATTCTCAAAGGAATCAAGAATCCCCCAAAAGGTTAAATCTTCTGCAACTTGTTATTCCTGGGCAATCTCTCCCACTTATGCTTACCTACCACCTACATGCTGATGGCTTCCAAGTCCTTTTGTCAGATCTGACTTCCCAACTGAAAGCACCTCAGTGGTTTTCATCTCCTGTTCTTGACAGAAGGCATAAGGCCCTTTAAAATCTAACCCTCATGGCCTCTCCAGCCTCCTGTCTTCAAGTTCCCTGCCTTCTAGCTTGGGCTTCAGAAATGGTGAACTGCTTTGAGCTGTGTGGGGAGAGTGGGATTCTGGTGGAGCCCTCTCTCTGCCCTGGGGACCTCTTCACCGTTGGTCTGGGAATTTTATTCAATTGTTGATTAAAGCTGCTTCCTGATCCAGTTCTTTCTGTCTTTCTTTTGAATGATATTAAACATGTATCTTAGCAGATAATATGCTATTCATTTTGTCACCCAAGCGAAATGAGTTTGCAAAGGAAGCATTATTTTAATTGGAAGGTGGTTTCAGATGCTTTATTAAATTGCCTTACTCTAATAGCCTAAACCTTCAAATGGTGGGGGAGGGGGGTAAACTCAGCTCAGGCTTTACCTTCTCCAGGAAGCCTTCTCGGACACCCTCCTGCCTTCTAGGCTCCATGAGGCACCCTTCTCATGTGTACTCATTGGTCCTTACACCTTTTTCTCATTATACTTGCCACATTGAGTTGCAATCCTGTTTCTGTATTTGTCACCCCCACTTGAGAACAAAGAAGTGTCTTCTTCATCTTTGTGCCTCCAGCAGTTAACACCATATCTGCAATGGAGTACATACTCAGTGAATATTAATTGAGCTGAACTGAAATGAAAAACAATAATCTTTCTCCTCAGAGACTTCTTCAGATACGGTTTCTTGTCTGCCACCTGGCTGTGTCCTACTCCAGCGCACTCTCCACATTGCTCTCAATAAATGTCATTCTAAGAAAATAAACCTCATGATACCTAAGTCAGAAATTATAAAAGAAAAGACATATAGATTTGATCAAAAGAGGAGAACTTCTATACTGAAGACATATTTATGCCAAAGTAAATTCTTATGGAGCAAAGATTTAAACATTAAAAAAATTAAACTTAAAAAAGACTCAAAGAAAATAAATGTGGGCTTACAATTAAAAATTAAAAGGTACTTTAAACACTGTGGTTACTACTGGGAAGAGGATTTGATGGAAATTAGTATTTTATAGTTCTGTATTGCTGGATGTTTTTTTATAGCAAGTTTGTATGATTTTTCCCAATGAAAACAAATAGGTAATTGATAGATCTTGGCAATTACATGCAAGGCAGAGAATTCCTACCTACCAGATATTTTAACTCTCTCACCTTTAGTCTTCCCATGTACTCTCCCTCAAATAAAGATAATGGTACTTACCTTATATGGATCTTGTGACATTTTTCCTCCTATGTATGGTGTCTGACTTAGTACCTTTCAATAAAAAACAAAACAAAACTGCCTGGCCGGGCGTGGCTCAGCGGTTGAGCATCAACCTAGGATCCAGGAGATTGGGGTTCGATTCCCGGTCAGGGCACATGCCTGGGTTGCGGCCTAGGCAGCTGATCAATGACTCTCATCATTGATGTTTCTATCTCTCTCTCTCCCCCTCCTTTCCTCTCTCTGAAATCAATAAAGATATGTTTTTAAAAAAACAAAACAAAAAACTCCCTATTTCCTTGGGCCTTTGCCCATTGTATAATAGCTCTCAAATCTGAGAAGTCAATCAGCATGAACACCTTAGGTGGGTGCTAAGAAATTAATTATTGGGCTGATTTCAACTCCAGACTGAAATCTTCCAGTGGGCAGGGTCTGGCATTTTCTTCCCTTTTCGCCTTACAGAACTTAACATTGGCCACAAAGCCTGAAGTCAACTGACATTTACTGAATTTAATAGAATTTAACAGAAAAAAACCTGACGATTTTCAGCCCCCAGACAGACCTAACCAGGCTGTACTTTGTAGCAGGCAACAATTTTCAAACTCCTTAAACATTTAACAATGGTTATCTCTGAGTTATAGGAATACTGGTAGTTTTAATATTCTTCTTTATATTTTTTAGTATGTTCCAATTTTCTATGCATATATTACTTTTGTGGGCAGGAAAAAAAAAAAGTGTCAATTAAAAAATACTACAGCCTGGCCGGGCGTGGCTCAGCGGTTGAGCGTCGACCTAGGATCCAGGCGACCGGGTTCGATTCCTGGTCAGAGCACATGCCCAGGTTGTGGGCTCGATCCCTAGCAGGGGGCATGCAGGAGGCAGCCGATCAATGACTCTCTCATCATTGATGTTTCTCTCTCTCTCTCTCTCCCTCTCCTTTTCTTTCTCTGAAATCAATGAAGATATATTTAAAAATAAATAAACAAACAAACAAATAAATAAAAAATACTACATATCGTAGTGCTGGTTCCTATCAACTTCTCCTCACCTTCTCATGTGCTTTTATCCCCATCTTGATCTCCAAGACACCCAGTGAACCCCTTCTCAGAAAATGATTGTCTAGTGGAAATTAGGAGACCTTTGGAATCAGACCAGCGTTTGAATCCCAACCCAGTGCAAACGTGGTTAATTATCTTACTTCTCTGAATCCAGCCTCCTTATCTGTAGATGAAAGTAACACCTTCCTTCTAAATTGTGTAGTTTGGGTAAGCAGCTTTGCTAATTTAATACGTATGTGAATCACCTGGGATATTGTTGAAATGCAGCCTCTTGCTTAGTAGGTCTGAGGTGGGCCCAAGAGTCTGCATTTCTAAGAGCTCCGAGGTAGTGCTGATGCTAGTGATTCACAGATCACACTTTGACTTGCAAGGGATTAATGACATAACAAATGAAGAAGCCTTGGCACAAATGTCCTAACTATGCTTGTTCCTCTCCTCTTGAGTGGGCCTGACTTTCTGGCTGTTTGGATGAGCTCATCTCAGGAAACTCCTGAGATCCACTCAGGTGCAACCCGACTCATTTGAGCTTTAACCTATTCCTATTTTCTCCCGACTTTAATATCCTTCTTTTCTTTCGGTTTAAGTACTTCATTCTTCTTTTGCCTAACAGCAATACAGCTAGCTGTGTTTATAGGGGTTTTTTTATAACAGCTTTATTTTTAAATTTTTTTAATTATTTTCTTTTAATCCTCACCCCAGGATATTTTTTCCATTGATTTTTAGAGTGGAAGGGAGGGAGGAAGGAGGAGAGAGAGAGAGAGGGAGGGAGAGAGAGAGAGAGAAACATTGATGTGAGAGAGGATTGAACCTGCAACCCAGCTATGTGCCTTGATCAGGATTCAAACAGGTGACACTTTGGTTCTCGGGCCAATGCTCTAACCACAGAGCCACACCGGCTAGGGCCACCCTCACTATTCAAAACACATTAGAAATGGAAATCCAAGAAAAGTACAGGGATTCCCTAAACACAGAATATTGAAAAATATACTTTCCTGTTTTAACTATATTGTTTTATTGCTTTTAAAATTGGTTTCTAAGTAAATAGGTCAGAGTCTATCTTCGATAAATTTTAAATATAGTATTTCTCTGTGATGTAGTAGACAAGGTATTTAGAGGTGAAAAATGGCCCAGTTTCTTCCTACACTCCCAGGTCAGTAGAAAATATTCAACTCTAACATTTCAGGCCTAAGAGCTTTAAATGAGTTATAAAACAAACATGCAAATAAATGGGAGGGGCAGGAATGTCTCTACTTAAAACTTTATGCATAAAATTTTTTCCTAATTTCAAGACAGTTATAGTTAGAGCTGGTAGAAAAACTAGGTAAATAACAACAGTAATTACAAAACACTTAGTTTCTATGTGTTAGGAACTGTGTGAGGTTCTCTGTGCATTATCTCATTTCATTAGGCTTGTAGAAAATATTCGACTTTTTCTAGTTTAGCCATGGCTTCCACAGAGGGATTATTAAAAGATCTAAAAATCTGTGAAATAAATCCAGAAAATATTTGTTGTGCTCCTTGGGGAAACACAATCCAACTCCCTTCAACTGAAATCCGTGGTGATTTCCAAGGTCTCTGCCCCTCCCCACGCCCATGGTTCACTTCCTCTTCTCACTGTTGCACTCAGAGAAGACCAGAGGACACAGAGGACTCAGCAGCCATGTACTAGCAGCATCTTCTTTTGTTATCTCTGAGTGTAGGTTTTCTTAATGAATCTGTCTAATTTCTCATGCTCTTATAATCAGTAGGTTTTACTTCTTTGGCTGGGTGCAATTTAAATTCTCACTAAAATTGTATGCCCTTTATCTCCTAAGTGGGAAGCATGAATGCCAATGAAATCAGGCCAGAGTTTGAATCCTAGTCTCTTAGCCTTGTTTTCTCTATCCATAAAAATTAATGAGGTAATTCCTACCTCCTAGAGTTTATTAAGGTATTCGATCCTTCTTTGCTAGTTCATTCATTCAGTTTACCTAGTACCTACCACATGCCAAGCACCATTCTAAAGCACCTAAAGGGGTCTGTAAACTCTAAAGCTCAAAGCAGTTACTGCTTTTGCGATCTAGTGGTCGTTTCCCCCCGCAAAGCAACAAAACCAAAAAAAAATCACCTAAACAACAAAGGGAAGATACAGAGAAAAATTCCTTGGCCAGGAGCTTTACAAAAAGAACCTTTTCCCTGAAGGGATTCAGGAAGCAAGAAGGTCCTCCTTCACTCCAAACAGTTCTCACTAGTCCTCGAGGTTTCTCGACTATTTTTCTTGCCCCGCACATCCAGAAACCTACAGTGTATTCCGGGTTGTACTTATGAACAACAGGTCTTGTTCTGCCCGGTACCGTTCACCCTCCGTCCATGCACTTAATCTTTCTGGGCTTTCATTTTATTTATTTTTTCCCAAATGAAAACCGCAAGTTCTAGGCTCCTAACTGGTTTCGGGCACCGTAAGCAAGTGACTCGTGATCTGGGACTGGTTGGGAAAGCCAGGGCGCCGGACAAAGGTGCGTCCTGACTGAAGTTCAAACGCCAGCACCCAACGCCCCAGCCCCTCCGCCGCGCCCGAGATCAGAGGGCGCCCTTTTACAGAAAGCGAACGCTCCAGTCCACGCCTTCTAATACATCACGAGGCCTTATAGGAAAATGAAACTGAAAATTTCCTTTCCTAACCCGGTTCAGCACCGCCGGCTAGGAAACTGGTGACGGGCAGGGTTCTGATTGGCGGCGCCCGAGCGGCATATAGGCCAGACGCGCGGCCCACGGGCGCAGTCGTCGTCGCGTCCGCAGTGGTAGCGATGGCTCTCTCCGTGGCCCTGGTCGTGCTGGCGCTGCTCTGTCTGTCTGGCCTGGACGCTGAACCGCGTGAGTGCCCCTTCCTCCCCGTTTCTCCTCCTCTCGCCCTTCCTCTCCGGGTCCCCTACCCGCTTTCTCGGGACTCTCTCTCTAACACCCCGGTTCTCCAAGTGCTCTTTCCCGCCCAGG